TACTACTACTACTACCACTACTACTACTACTTACTACTACTACTACTACTACTACTACTATACTACTACTTACTACTACTACTACTACTACTACTACTACTACTACTACTACTACTACTACTACTACTACTACTACTACTACTACTACTTCTACTACGACTACTACTACTACTACTACTACTACTACTACTACTACTACTACTACTACTACTACTACTACTACTACTACTACTACTACTACTACTACTACTACGACTACTACTACTACTACGACTACGACTACTAGGACGACTACAACTACTACTACCACTGCTAGTAGTAGTAGTAGTACTACTACTACTACTGCTACTGCTACTGCTACTGCTACTACTACTGCTACTACTACTACTACTACTACTACTACTACCAGTACTATTACTACTACGGCCACTACTACTACTACTACCACTACTACTACTACTGCTACTACCACTACCACTACCACTATCACTACCACTACTACTACTACTACCACTACTACTACCACTACTACTACTACTCTGCTTCTCCTACTAATACTACGGTTAGTATTATGCTACTACTATTTTTTTTTATATTTCTACTACTACTACCACCACTACTACTACTACTACTACTACTACTACTACTACTACTACTACTACTACTAGTACTACTACTACTACTACTACTACTGTTACTACTACTACTACCACTACTATTATGTAAACGCTTCTTCCAATACTACTACTACCACCGCGGCCGCAACCACTCCTGCTGCCATTGTTGGTGGTACTACACGTGTTTGCTTTATTATTGGAACGAGGGCTACCAGTATTAGCGTTCCGATCTTGATCATTACTTTTACGCTTACGACCACGCCTACCACTACCACTGCGATGCTTTCACTATTCCTTTTACGTTTATTTTTACCGACGACAGCTAGGACCACTACTACCACGCTATTGCAGCTGCCGCTTCTACTGCTGTTAATACTTGTGCCACGGTTTTACATCTACGGCCACGGCTACGATTACGAACGATGTTGCTGTTATGGTTGTTGGTGCTACATGCAGTATTGATGCTACGACTTTGGCTTCCGACTACTACTGCGACTACGACTACTACAGCTACTATCGCTACTACTGTTACTGCTGCAATTTCTATGACTACCACTATTATTCTTTCGACTACCATGACTACCAGAATTACCATTATCTATTGTTATTACTTCTACTATCACTACTACTACTGATACAACTACTACCACTGCCAGCACTACTACGACTACTACGGCGATTAGTACTTCGACTACAAGTTGTTGTACTGCTATCACTATTACTACGATTTTTCTTGTTGTGCGACTAGTACTACTATTTTTAGTACGACCACGACTACTACTACGACGACGACGACGACGACGACGACTACTACTACTACCACCACTACTACTATTACTATAACTACTACGACTACTACTACCACCACCACTACTACTACTACTACTACTGCTACTACTTCTACTTCTACTTCTACTACTTGTAATGCGATTACTACCCTACTGTTACGACGACGACCACTACTATTATTACCAGTACTACTACTTCGACTAGTACGACTATTGCTACTACTACTACTACTACTACTACTACTACTACTATTACTACTACTACCACTACTACTACTACTACTACTACTACTACTACTACTACTACTACTACTACTACTAATACTACCTTTACTACTACTACTATTACTACTATTTCTTTCTCGACTACTACTACTACTACTACTACTACTACTACTACGACTAATTCTATTATTACTACTACCACTACCACTACTACCAGTACTACCAATACCACTACTTCCGCCAGTACTACTACTACTACTACTACTACTACTACCACGATTATTATCATTATCATTTTGAATCGTACAACTACGTTTACTACGACCATTCTTACGACTGCTACTACTATTGTTTCTTCTTCTATTTCTCCACCACTACTACTACTACTACTACCACTACTACTACTACTACTACTACTACTACTACTACTACGACTACGACTACGACTACTACTACTACTACTACGACTACTACTACGACTACGACTACGACTACTACTACTACTACTACTACTACTACTACTACTACTACTACTACTACTACTACTACTACTACGACTACGACTACGACTACTACTACGACTACTACGACTACTGTTACGATTACTACCATGGCCATTGCTAGTATACTTAACCTTCTTCCTACGTTAATACTGCGACCACGACTACATATGCTTCTACTACCAGGTGCCGTCGCCCAGCCTCCGGCGGCGCGGCAAGTGAGCCCGGGAGCTGGCCGCGGCAGGCGCGCCCGAAGGTTTGTTGCGTTGGCTGTCACTTACCACGTCCTTGCTTCCTGCGCTTTGCACCCCGCGCCAGAATTAGTCTCCCAGGCGCCCACGGCCTGCGCCACTTGACGGTGATCCCCCCCCCCCATACACCTGCACATGCAGCTGTACCCTCTTGGGCCGTGTTGGGGCCATCTGGCGCGTCTTGGACAGAATTTTCGGCGACTCGGGGCCGTCTTGGATCGTCTTGGAGGCCTCTTGGGTCCCTCTTTGCCCGTATGGGGTTTGTTTCCAGAAGAGTCACGCGATAAGATTTGCCAAGCCTCGAAAGTGCCCGAGGGTGCCTGGAATTTGGGGTCGTGGGCCCTAAGCGAGTACACGAAGGGACCCGAGGGCACTCCACTTCGCGCATCGGGGCACTGGCGGATGTATGCAGCAGGTGTAAGTAGTTTGTACGAAGCGGTGTTCTTGCGAGTTGTTATTGTGCATGCTAGTGATTCTGTTTGGCAGGGCGACAATAATCTATACGTGTATGTGAGCACCTGTGTACGTATGTGCTAGTATGTGCTAGTATGTGGGCTCAAGCGAGGAGCCCGGCAGTGTTCCATCATCGCAGGGGCGTTGGGATCGGCGTTTGTGTTGGAAGGCGCCGTTTTCTCCCACACTCGTGCAGCAGAGTACCGCAGACGTTGAGAATATATTCCCGCGTGCATGCGTGCATTCATATATGATGTAGTTGTAATGAGGTATATGTGTGCGTGCGTGTGCGTGCGTGTGTGTGTGTGTGTGTGTGTCTGTGTGTGTGTGCGTGTGTGAATGTGCGTGTTCTGGTACCCGCTCGGTCATGAAAGTGTGCACATTCCTGCTTTGTACAGACGGGGCGAAGGCAACAAAAAAACAGCTGCTGTCGCGTTGTCGTTGAGATATCCGATGCAGCTGCCTTCCGATAACCTGTTGCTGTGCCCTTCAGGAGCTACGCATGTGCACGCATATGCACCCTTTTGGGCAGTGTCTTGGGGGGCTCTCGGGTCGTCTTGAGGCCATCTTGGACGTCTTGGAGATGCCTTTCGGCGACTTGGGGCCCTCTTGGACCGTCTTGGGGGCCTCTTGGGGCCCTCTTTGCCCTGTTTGGGCTTTCTTGCTTCTAGAAGATCATGGGAAGTCACGCGACAACGCGCTCTAATCTTCGGACGCGTCCGAGAACCCCCAGAGTTCGTGGATGTCTCCTTGAAAGAGCACCACAATGTTCAATACAACGGACTCGATGGGACCTGAGGACACTCCACTTCGTGCCTTGGGGCACGGTGGGTGGCGTATGTAGCAGATGAGTGTTATGCGCATCGGTGCTTTTGCAGTTTGTGTATGTTTGTGATTACATCTGCATTCGCGTCTGCAATGTCTGCATGCGTGTGAGTCGCATGTCTGGAAGATTCATGTCGCAGAGGAGCTGGAATTTTGTGTGTTTCCCGCTTGGCTTATCCGAGCGCCGCAGCCGTCGAGAATGTATTCCTGCCTGCATGTGCGTACGCATGTATGAAGTGCTTGCAATCAGATCAGTCTGTGCAGGTTCATGTGTGTTCTAGGTCGCTTTCGGTCATGCACATGTGTTGCTTCCTTACGTTGCTCAGACTGGGGGGAGGTAACATCATACCGTTTGGTATCACGCTGTCGCCGCGATCTCTTTTGCATACAGCTGCCGTCCGATGACTTCTTGTTGTGCCCTTCAGGAGTTCGAAGCTTGGTTCGAAGAGCTGCATCCACCCGCTGCGGACCTGTCGATGAGGCTGCATCTGCGCGCGCTCTGACCTAACCCCAACACTTGCAGCGTTTCCTAACAAATCCGGTTCATTCCCCATTACCTAAGTACGGAGTACTATTATGATGCTTCCATTGTCCTTCTTCCTCTCGTTCCGCCTGCCTCCCTTCGGGTCACACGCAGACTTGCCCACACTCAACTTCAAACACACTCTGATCCACCGATGCCCAGGCTTGCCCATACCCAGATTCATTTATGCACAAGCCACTCTCGCTCGGATTCTTTCGTACCCAGCCGAGTTATATCGGTATCCATCCAGGCAGACCACTAACATTATGATCAGTGCCGCTCAGATTCACGCGCATAAGAAGACTCGCATTCAGACCTACCCACACCGTGTCGCCCATACTCAGACCAACTCATACTTGCTCCTCAGATTCAGGCCCACTCGTGAGCATTCAAATTGTAGCAGGAATTGTATTTGGGATCCAAAGGGGGAGCCACCAGGGGTTGTTTTATTTCCATGTCTCAGGCGGTTGACTCGTTTGGTGGGCTTGACCCTTGTCGTTTGAGAACGTTGCATGTCCCAATTCGCGCACAGAGTCTTGGGATGTCCCAGGCGATTGTCTAGGTTGGTGGGCCCGAGAGGTGTTTGAGATTGTTATGTTGATCGTGATATAGAATGTGTGGGTTTTGTACGATAGGGATAGAAATCATGTGTGGTATGTTGGAATGATAGGGAGGAGTTGTCAGACGTGGTGTCCTGTCGACGTTCGCGCCCCAATTGTGGGAAGGCGTGTCAGGCGGTTGGCTCGCCTGGTGGGCCAGACCCCTCCTGAGAGCCCCGTGACCACCGCGCCGTGGCCCGCGTGCCGCGTAGACACGCCAAGGAGGAGCCCAGAGTGTGGGAGTCGTCGCGGGCGGTTGGCTCGTTTGGTGGACCACACAGACTGTCGTGCAAGGGCCCCGTGGTCACCGCGACATAGCAGGCGCGGCGCTTGGGCACGGCAGGGAGGAGCGGCCAGGGGTGGCTTCATGTCGTCGTCCGCGCCCAGCTCGTGCGGACGTCTCGGGCGAGTTGCTCGTCTGGTGGGCCAGACCTTTCGATGTTTTTTGAGAGCTCCATGATCACCGCAGCACAGCAGGCATGGCACTTGGGCGCCCCAATGGCGGAGCCGCCAGGGAGAGGGGTGCTTGCCTGCTCGACCAACTTATAAGTACGTCTCCAGCGGTTTGCTCGTTCGATGGGCCAGACCCCTCCTTCTTTGAAAGCATCGGGATCACCGCCACACAACAGGCGTGGCATTTGGACACTCCCGCTCGCGCCCGAGAGGGGGACATGCTCCCGCTCGCGCCCAGATTGTGTGGACTGTGTGGAGGTCTCGGGCGGGTCGCTCGATTGGCGCCCATGGTTCTCAACTTCTGAGGGCCCTGCGATCTATACGATAAAGCACGTATACCATTTCGGCACCCCACGGGGGAGCCGCCAGGCGGTGTTGCTGTCGCCCGTTCTCATCTCGATTATGGAGTTGCTTCAGGCGTTTCGCTGGTTTGGGCACCCCCGGCGCTCCTGTGTTGAGAACCTCATCACCACCATCATATCCATTGACACCCAGATGCGTTCCTACTCAGTCACATTCAGACTCACTCATGCACAGGCCACTTTCACGCAAATCCATCCGTACTCTGCCAACGCAGTCTTAGAGTCACACCATTGTGCCACTCAGACCGTGATAGCCCACATTCAGACTCACGCATGCTCTGACTTACGCTCAGACCTACCCACAACCTGTCACCCATACTCAGACCAACTCATACACTCTCTTTGGACTAAGGCTCACCCTTCATCGCCGTAATGTAGCAGGCATGGCACTTGGGCGCCGCAAGGATGAGCAGCCAGGGGTGGTGTAATGCCCCCATTCATTCGATCCCAGAGTGTGGGGATGCTTCAGGCGCTTTGCTCGTTTGGTGGTCCAGGCCCTTTCTTTTTGAGATCATGTCGTATTCTCCCGGGGTCATGCTCATATGCTCTCACACATGCCATTCACAGTGTGAGCATCCACGCTCCGACTCGTGCATATTCAGATTCACGTCCTGACCTACCCATGCAGGCCAACTAATATGCGCTCCTCAGTTCCAGTCTCACTCATGATCGCCGAAATTTAGCAGTCATGGCACTGGGGCGCCCCAAGGGGCAGCCGCAAGGGGTGGCTTAGTTTCACCGTCCGCGCCCCGATTGTGGGGATGTCTCACGTGGTTTGCTCATTTGGTGAGCCATGCAAGCTTTCGTATAAGGGCCCCATGATCGCCGCGACATAGCAGGCGTGGGCTTGAAGCGCCCTACGGAGTAATAATCGCAAGGGTGGGTTTATTCACCGAGTTTGCACCCAGATTGCCGGGATGACTCAAGCGGTTTTCTCGTTTGGTGGGCCAGGCATTTATGTTTTGAGCGCCGCACGGCCATCGCAACATAGCAGGCGTGGCACTCCTGCACCCCCAATATGGAGCCGCTAGGGTTGGTTACAGTCCCCGAGTTCGCGCCCGGATCGTGGGGATGTCTCTCTTGCGGTTGGCTCGCTTGGTGGGCCAGACAATGTTTCTTTTGAGACCCCTATAACCACCGCGACATTGCAGGCATGGCACTTGGGCAGCCCAAGGAGGAGCCGCCAGGGAGGAGGGCATTTGCCCGTTCGCGCCCAGATGTTGTGGAGTGTGGTGAGGCGTCGAGCGGGGTCGCGCGTTGAGTGTCCCCAAGTACATTTGAAAGCATCACGGTCACGTCGGTAAAGTTGGCATAGCAGTTGAACGCTTTAAGGAGGAACCGCAAAGAGGTGTTGGACTTGCTCGTTCTCACTTCGATTTGGGGGGGGGCTCATTCGTTTCGATGGTTTTGGCACCCCCGACCGCGATGCAGTAGGCAAGTTGCGTTTGCACCCCAGCTTGGAGCCGTCATGGGGCATTCCACTTGCCTGTTCGCACCCAGATCGTGTGATCTCCCAGAGGAAACGCTGGATTGGGCACCTTCAGCCCCTCTCCTTTCGGACTCCCAATATCACCCCGATGTGTCAGGCATACCATTGGGGCACTCCAAATGGGGGGGCCTCCAGGAGCCGATGAGTCGCCACAGGCTGAGCTTCTTTCGCTCAGACGCTCACAGACGGGAGAGCCAGGAACTGATTTGCACAGATGGGGAGCTCCACGTCGGGCACTTGTTTCTTCTTCGCTCCATTCCCCAGGTTCTTCTCTGCCTGAAGATCGGTGTACACATCCTCCGGATTCGCTCGTGTGGGATTTGTACGTCGTGCGTTCGCACGCGCACGCTGTTGAGATCGCGAGGCGAGGGCTCGCGGGAGAGAGGGAGAGAGAGAGAGAGAGAAAAGAAAAAGA